AGAGAGAGAGAGAGAGAGAGAGAGAGAGAGAGAGAGAGAGAGAGAGAGAGAGAAGCCATTTGCTTAACTTAATCTGGAACATATGTTTGCACCAGTAGCAGGTTTTTTGGTGTGTGGCTGGGGCTGATCAAGTTGTAAATTTTCCTCTTTAGGTTTTCAGCGCCTGCTAGTTTCAGCCTAACACCTAGAGAGAAACTTTGCGGGGTTCTTCACTGAAACAGCCAAGATTTAACAAAAGGTTTCCAAGCCACCCAGCTGAGTGTTCCCAAAGGTAGAACATTTCTATACAGTTAGTTCCCAAAATCCTAAAAACAACTAACAAGTTTAACTCCCCTTTGTTAAAGTGTTGTTAAAATGTCTATAAAGAGATTTTTGTCTTTCATTTGCAATCATTGCCTTCCCTCACCTGCAACCCATTCTTTAAAGGACAATGATATGAGAGTACTGTGTGCTGTGAAAATGACATCTTCATTCCACAAAACAATGTTCAGGTCCTTTTGATTCATCTTAATTTTTCCCATCAGAAACTTAGAACTATTGATTTTCCTTCTTTGTGTTTCAACACAAAGGAGTTTCTAAAAAGTGTCTTAACTATCTGAAGAGAATCATTTAGTGGTTAAAATAAATGCATATTTGAATTCACAAATCACCCTTCATGTTAAACAAAACTTGTGGTGACTTTTATTAAAATACTAAAACATGGACATGAATTTTTAGTATTTGGTGCTTAGATAAATCACAACACTCTTTAAAAAATCAACTAATGATATCCCATAATGACAAATGAAAGTAAAAAATTTCCCTAAGATCAGCTTACTTCATCCTGAAATGGAAATGGGGAGTAGTGATAGGAGTGGGTGGAGGACACTGTTGGTAAATCTCCAGGATTGTAAATATTCATCTGGACCTGCTAATTTATCTTTTTCCTAAAAACCTCAGTCAGATTAATGGAGGAAAAGTTAACATGTCTTTTTAAATGTATCACAACGAGTAATTGAGCCATAAATGTGCCCTACATTCAGGTGCAGAATTTCCTTGAATTTTTTTATTATATTGATTAAGATGGGCAGCTCCCTCCTGGATATTACCTGAGTCAAAAGAAAGCAAGGGCAATAAAATTACCAGCACTGTGCTAATCAAATGCTCACAAACTACTTCAGAACAACAGTGCTAAAAAGCCACTTTAATTCTGAAATGAAAGGTCCTGAGACACCGAGCGCCATCTAGCAAGCAAAGTTAGAATCAAAATGTGCCTGAGTGAAGCACTATGCACCGAGAGACCAGCGGATAGGGAGGCAAACTGGGATTTGCAGATGCACTTGCTGCGATTTAACCACCAGACCAATCTCACCTAAGCCCAGTGCTACCTGCAAGTTTCTGCTCTTGAACCCAGTGGCCAATTCAAACAAACTTAACTACTAAGGTGAGAAGGACTGTTTCTGCCTCAAGCAAAGGCTAAAGGACAGCTCCTCACAGGATTGCTTATTGTTTTTAATTAGAACAGGCGGCCTCTCCATCTTCTCCCTCCCTCCTCCCCAAAATCAGCCCTTTGTCTAACTAGCCCTGCACCTCCTATCCAGATGAGGAAAAGATCGGAGACTGAAAAGCTCACCTTGGGCTGATACAGCTCCCAGGGCTTCAGCGCAGAGGAAAGCGCATTGCCGGGAAAACCTAGCAGAGGTTGAGAAGTCATTCTGAGTTTATAAGGCTGCCCAGACTGCTCCCGACAGGCACTCTGAGCTATCTCTGAGTGGCATAAGACAGAGATTTACTTAACAAGCCATGAATGGTCATGGAAACTGAAAGCTGTCTCCTAAATATAAACAGTATAACTTTATTCTTCTCCAGGCAACCTAGTCTTTGATATTTCTTTTGGCTGAAAGAAAGTCAAAGGTAGTTAGGATGCTGCCAAATACCCCTGTTAGTTTATAGCTCAAAGGGCTAAACAACACTTTTTCCATTTTTAAAGTTTTAATGATGTTACCTAATTAAATGAATATTCTTTGGAAGTGGGTTAACAATATAACTACAAAATAAAGCTTCTGGGTTTCGATATGAAGAAAGTAAAGAATAATCTGCTTTCTGTATAGGCAAGTGCCCCACATTTTTCTTTTAAATCAGTCAATCTGAATTCAAAAGAATAAGAAAGTTGATCTCAATAATATTTCTGCTTTCTAAAGAACTATTAATCTTACTGGAATTTCATTTTAAAGCTGGAAAAATGCATTGTATGTATGTGTTAATCTTAAATTACTCCTATTTTCCTGCTATTGAATATTGCCTCTGTAATAGCTCATTGATTCACATTGTTTTTAGAACAGAGCCAGCGCTTGGGTTTTCTATTGTTCTCTCTCCCTCCTCTGCCCTCATCTACTACAATTTTTTCCTGTAAAGAACTATGTTAAAAAAACTTTAAAAATAAAATATTAAAATATTTCAATTAGCTTTAAATGCTGCTCAATCTCAGGTTTGTTTCTCAATGAGAATATTTATAATAGATATGAAATAACATTTCTCTTTATTTTTTTTACTATGTTATTTACTGTCCAAAACAACCACATGACGAATAAAAGAACCATCAGATAAGAATACACTCAATAAGCTCATTAAAGCATCTGCACAGGTTATAGTATTTACAGAAAAAAAAATCAACGAAAATCACAACCCACCCAACAAACCTTAGTCAATAAATAAAGGACTCTGGATCTTAACTGACAATTTAGAAAACATCTAAAACATTTCTATAAAATCTTCTCTCCATGTGCCTGAAAACAAGTACAAAAACCTCAGGATGGACAGTAGATAAAATTCTAACTTCCTCTCCTTGCCCTCTTCCTGTCTAAAGTTCAGAGGAAAAGTTTCCAGGTTATTCTTGCTTCTGAATTGCAATAAAAATCTAACTTTGGATGTATATGTGAGTCTTGTTAAGTAGCTCATTTCTCCCATCAAGGTCTTCTTTAACATGGAATCTTCTCCTAGACAGGGTACCCAGCTGTTTAATTTAACATTGATTTATTGCTTTTAAAAGTAAATTTACACACATGCCAGCAGCGCTCCGTTTTGTTTCCCCAGACTCTGAGATTTATTTTCTACTTAGCGCTTGTCTGACAAAACAATGTCCTTTAACTTTATTACACATCGATGAGGAAATCTGTCTTATTTTTGTTCAGATTTATTGCTGTGTTACTTGTGGGGACTTCTGTGATCCAAAAGGACTGAGGTCTAAAAATAAATAAAAAATTAACCAGAGTTGATCACAAAATAATAGTAAAAACCTTAGAATATGGCCCAGCATATACCGACCTGCTGAGTTGCGGGCTGGTGAGGTGGGACACAGGATGAGTTCCCCTAGTAAGCAAAGTGACCAAGGAATGGGAAAAATTAATGGGCAGGAAGTGTTGGGGATGGGTAGCTAAATCTGGGTTCTGTAGCATCTCCAAGTTCTCAGTTAAAATGTTATCTGGAACTACACGACAGGGCATCGCTGTGTAACTCCTCACCCGGTGGCTGCCTTACCTCCCTGCAGAACCCCCAATTACCACATGTTCATGAAGACTGAGCCCAAGGGAATTAAGATAGACTTTGAAGCAGCTTTTACGGTACACTTCATCTACATTTGGGTTTTCTTTAGCTCCCATTAAAAGGGCCACTTTCTTCTTTTCATTGATATATTGTCTTTGTGTCCTTCATTTCACACTCTTTAAAAAAAAGTTCTCTCATCAGATCAAGTGCAAAAAGGAGGGGATGACATAATATCCATCATAATCATGATAACAACAACAACAACAACAAACAACTGGTACTGTGGGTTTACATCTGTTCTACAAGAAGGTTTTCTCCTAAGGCATGATCCTTCAATTAAAAAAAAAAAAAAGGTCGAGAATGGAGATGATAAAAGTGTTTCTAAGGTTAAATTATATGAAAGCAGGCTTAAAACACACACACACACACACACACACACACACACCTATGTGAGACAAGCTCACCCCTCTTGTTTTCTCAGAGAGGCACTTAATATTAATCTAGAAACTTTTGAATGAGGAAATGAGGACACTGTATCTTTTCTAGTAAGAGGTAAAAATGTGATGGGTTTTATTGGTAAGAGGGAGAACTTTCTAAGATATTCACTTCCTTTCCTCTGTAAGCATACCATCTTTAAAGATTCTTATCTGAAAGCTTGATTCTCCGTTGCCTTATCCACTCTGATCAGTGAGTCCACAAAACACGTTAATATGATTCAATAATTTTTCCAACCCCAAAATGATTTTTTGGAAGTTAAGGGATCACTCTCTTGAAAACACATCAACACATGCTTGCGCACGCACTTCAAATCTAACCAAAAAGGAAAGAAAAGGGGGGGGCAGATGAAAGAAAAGAAAAGGAAAAAATGAGAAAAAAAAAGAAAGGAAAATATCTACAAGGGGGAGGGGAAGTAGCTGGGAAACACTGAAAATTCTCCTATTCATATTAGGAGTTCCCCCCTCCCCGTTTGCCCTTTGAAAAGGGGTCCTGTCATTCAGAAAGGAGCCGTTTCTTCAACCTCCTCCCCATCCACCCACAAGCCGGCCCCCCTCAGCCTCGCAGCCCGGCCCCGGCCCACCCTGCGGCCCTCCCCGCACACACACAGTTTCTTCCGAGAGCTTTTTCAAGTAAGAGCTGGAGAGATGAGAGGTGCGGCTTCTCCAACGCGGAGCCAGACAAGTACTTCTCATCCTGGCAGAGCGCTGCCCGGCGCGGCCCGCCCGAGGCCGGGCAGTTCTTTTTATGTCAAGAAGCCACCCGGTATCCTGGGCTGGCCGCCCCTCCCCACTGCGGGACCGCGACGCAGCGCTCGGGCCCGTCACGTGGCCGCGCCCGGAGCCCCCGCGGAGCCCTTTGTTAAGCCCCCCGAGCCCCACGCGCGGCTGCAGAGGTGGGGGCGGTGCGGCGGGAGGGGTGCGCCAAGGTGATGACCCGGCCACCTCGGCTTTGCCTCTGCTCACCGGACGGCCCCGAAACACTTTGGGACGATGCCCCCAAGCATTTGGCAAACCAAGATTCTCAGCTCTTTTGGAGGAAACGAACCTGGGCCACCTCCAATGTTTCAAACCAAAGGCACAAAGGGCGAGGGCTAGGGGCCCAGTGGAGGGCGCGCCTCAGCACAGGAGTGTAACCACTGAGCTGACTTCCCCCCTCCTTTCCATTCCGCCTCACTAGTTTCTCTCTCTCTCTCTCTCTCTCTCTCTCTCTCTCTCTCCTCTCTTCTCTTCTCTCTCTCTCTCTCCCCCCCCATCTTCTGCCACGCTCAGAGGCTCAGTGGGTGGGAATGTGTGTGTGTAAAGTGATTGTATGTGTGTGTGAGCGTACGTAGTTAGGTGGAAATTTCTAAAGAATATGTCCTACACTTATAAACTTGCTAGGGTGGGGGAGGATGCTCTCCAGAAAATGGACTGGTGGGAGAGTTTAAGGGACTTATTCGGGAGGAAATAGGGGGTCAGATTTGGTCTAAGTGGAACATCTGCAAAACATTCAAGCAGCTTATTCAACAAAGAATCTAGCCATTTATTGTAGAAATAATAAAAAGCCACTAATGATTATGGTTCCCACCCCTTCCCCCAAAAGGCCAAATCCTAATGAAATAATTCAAAGGTAGGCCTCATTTCCTAATAGTGGAATTAAACAACAACAAAAAAGAGCCCAACTAAACTTTCCAGCTCTGCCTTCTTAAGGGCCTGGGAACCTTGCTGAGAAATTAGGTAAATAAAAGGCGAGTTGGAATTTCTCTTGAGCTGAAGCTGCAGTGCACCGATTTCACATACTTCTGCCTTGATATGCAATTAAATTACAGTAAATTCCTCTTTAAATAATAAAATTTGGAAGCCTCTTCAGGATTCAAAGATGTCTAGGGTTAAGGAGCTTTTAAAACGTCAGTTTTTAAATCGCTTGTGCAATGAATAGCTACCTTTAAATCCTAAGACCATTATAAATATGCTATACATCTGGGTGTCAGTTTATCTGTCCATATTTCTTTTTAAAATGAGAAAAGCATTCATAAAAAGCTACTTGGCACACTTTATTTTAGGAAAGCAGATGTTAATTTTTTCACGTATCATTTTATGACCAAGTACATGTGTAACGTTGGAAAGCATCCAGAACGCCTCTATTATTTGCTAAATGACTGTTAGTTGAGGCATATTATTCTCAGCCTAACCATGGTATAGGTTATATCAATAAAGTAAACATCTGTGGGGTTTTTTTTTAACCAGGGGAGGGGGATATAAAGAGTCGCTATGAGAGAAAGAGGTGTGTGTGTTTGTGTGTTGTGTGTGTGCGCGTAAGCGCGCGCGCATGTGTGTGTGTGTGTGTGTGTGTGTGTGTGTGTGTGTGTGTGAGAAGAGCACACCTGCATTGTAGCAAATAGGATATTTATATTGTTCAGTGCAAAACAAAGTCCCTCAGTCGGGCACTCGGGGATATTTACATGGCGGGAGATAAAGTTGAAAGCCTTTCCCGGCGTGCCAAATGGGATTCTCCCTGTGGCCTTCTGCGTAGCAAGATAACAGGTACTGAGCGCTCCTGGAGGCGTCAGGCCTTCTCCGCCGCCCCTCCTTCCCAGCAGCCGGCCCCAGGCCCAGCCCGGGTTGAGCCAGGCGTTCAGGCTCTAGGAATTCCCAAGCACCGCGGTGATTTCAGCGGGGTTCCCAGCCTAGAAATATGCTCAGGAAGCGTCCTCATTTGCCCTGTGTCGCTCGAGGAGCCGGCGCCCAGGATAAGCCAGTGGCGTGATAATTAATGGAATACAATATTTATGGTCCGATGTATTGACTCTGAGGCAAGCGCGCCGTGTAGACAGTCCATGGGGGTCTGACAAACAGGGGGTGAGTGAACAAACATAATGACCAAAGTACTTATGTCTATCGGGTTTACTCACTTAAACCCGAGGTATGTAACATCGTGATAAATATTAATAACTACCTAGACAGCCCCACAGCACCGCTGTCCTCCTAAGCTCTCCCTTCCTGAGCGCTGCCCTTTTACAGAAAGGCCAGAGAGGAGGTTTTTAACATAAAATGCTGCAAATATGAAAAATAGGTCACCAATAAAATTGGTCTCAGCATGGAGCGTAATTGCAACAAAGTGCCGCCGAGTAAAATCGAGAAGTGAGCTGGCTGAGGCGGCACAGTCGCGAACCATCTGGTGTGTATTAAAAGTGGTGCTGTAAATATTGCTGAGAGCTAATGCATTATCGGCTTCTATAAGTGCACAGGGCCTGTAAGCTTTCCATATGTTAGAATATGTAGATCGAGTGAGAGTAGGGAAAGGTGTCCTATCAATCACTGGCTTCTAAATCATTGTTTTGCCCACTCTTTGTGGAATTTTGGCCCAAAACGTAGGATATTCATCCTCATTCCCCCACCCCTCATTTCCTTCTCTCAGCTCCTCTTTCTCTTTTTCTCTAGCTTTTTCTTCCAGCTCCCTTGTTCCATCCCCTCCTCCTCTCTCCCTTCTCTCCAAGGGGATAGGGCAGGCATCGCTGACGTCACTTCACATCAGTAAAAGAGAGTAACTGTTTCAGAGAGAGGGAGAAAAATTCATCTGTTTTTCATCAGTGCTAAAGTTTGCCTTTTTAATAGAAATGAGCTGCCCAGACTGAGCTGTACCCCTTCTGTTTTGAAACTTATAACCACCTTTTGGGGGGTGGTCCAAGAGGTTGGGAGGTGTTCTTCATCCTGGGAGCCAAATTGTCCTATAAGTGGTTCTAATGCCAGAATCAGCTCTTAGAGATAAAACTAATTAAAATAAGGTGCAAAGATGATGTCTCCTAGAGTAGATGTCACATCCACACTTCCTAGGCAAGTTTTGCCAAAGAGAGTGGATGACTCCTGGCTCCCTGACATTTTCTCTTTGAGTCCTGGAACTTCTTTCCTTCTTCCTCCATAATTCCACCCCCCACACACCGATTTGCCACACACAGCACAGCTAATAATTTTCCTGCTGTCACATTACTTTTCTAGTGAAAATAGTCCTCTTTTTAAATTGATGATACCCCCACATTTAAGGGTTTACTATAATTATCCCTCATCACCTCTGAGCCCCCACCCCATATCCTTAGCTATAAGTTTTTACCAGGGCTAGGAAATTTCTCTACATCATTTTCTCTGTCCCAAAGTTGGCCTGGTCTTTTTTATTCTTCCTATTCCATGTCATCCTCCCCTTCCCCTTCCTTTCCTTCCCTTTTCTCCCTCCTGTACATGCATAGTACAAGCCTCCAGCACTTGCCAGTGTGGATAAACCTGCTGGTCATGACAACCCAAGTTCAATCAGCAAATAAATAAAGCTCTTACTTTTTTTTGGCTGCCGGCTGCATTCCCCCTCTGGCCGTTGCCTCCTTTAATTATAGGAGCTATATTTCTTCCCTGGGAGACATTCGAGGGGATTTTTTGTTGGAAACTTGTTTCTGCTGAGTTATTTTGGAGCCAGAACCAGTGAGTGAGTGGCCGGTACCCAGAGGCTTTGAGTGAAGTGCAGATTGAGACATATCGAGTTCCCTCTAAAAGGATCATTTCATGTGGGAGGTTGGACACAAAGTTTGCACTCGTGACTGGCATTCCAGTGAGAGACATGCATATTTTAAAACAACAAAGCAAGCTGGAAAGAAGGCTTAGGGGAGGGGGAGAAAACTTGGAAAGAAGTTACTAAGTGACAAACATCTGTCAACATGGGATAATTTGTACACTCCAGTGTAAAACTATCTGCCTAGTTTAATGGAGTTCAAGGAACAGTATCTAGGAGAGCAAAGGGCTTATATATTTACTCTGTGAGAAAAGGTGGAAAGACACCCCCAAAATAGGTATGAAGATGATTAAAACTACATGAGTGAGTATAATTTGAAAATGTTTCTTAGAATAGTGAGTGTATCTTAAAATTAACTTTTTCTGATGGTTAATACAAAATTAGATCTTATGTGATTTTGAAAGACATACTTTATTTGAAAACAATGAAAAGTGATAAAGTAATAATCAGGATGTTAATTTTATCTTATAGTAAAACAAAAGAAAATAGAAGAGAAATAAAAGCTTAAGCAACCTCTGGTTGCCATGTTCCAGAAATCTCTAGAAGTACCAGCTTTACATGTGTATGTGAGCCAAACATAAACATCTACCTCTCTGCACCACAAGAAGAAATGGCAAAATGTTTTCAGAGTATTTTCTCTCATTTAAGCTTGGAGTTTCAACAAGCATAGTACACTTTGAGAGAGAAAAGAAAAAAAAAAGAGTTCCCTCTTTCGGAGGGAAGTTTTAAAAAGCAGTGTGAAAGATCAGGCCAAATGCTGATTTTTTTTTTTTT